TCATGTTTCACCTGGTCTAGGAGTGACCCCCACATTCCCTTCCTGGATCCTCTGAGGACATAATCCTGGGTTGGCCTCAGCCTGTGTGGGGCTGACTCAGGTGGGGCCTGGGGCCTGGCCTGGCTGGGCAGCATCAAGGTCATTATGGAAGGGCCTCAGGGTCAGGGCGGACCTAAATTTTGTGCTGAGATGTCCCCAAGGGGTGGAATTCCCCTGAGCCTTGCCTTGAGGAAACCAGAGACAGGACAGGAGGGGCCGTCCCCATCCGGTGGGTGCGCAGCTCTGGGGACCAGGGGCCAGCAGCAGCCCCTGCTTACCACTTCCGTGCTGTCTGACCTGCAGGGCCTGCACTCTCCTCTCTGGACGTCTTCAGAGCAGGCGCCATGAGGTCCACCCTGCCTGTCCTCCTCTGCCTCGGTCAGTGCTGGTTGGATGGTGGGGGTGGGGGGACACAGGGTCGGTGGGGAGGGTCCCAGGTGCCTGTTCACAGGGAACTCTCAGGTCTTACTCTCATATGGCACAAAATGGCTGCTGTGACCACAAGGGACAATAACCCTCCCCAACACTGAGATGCCAGCTCCTCACGGGGACCTCTCTTCCAGGGCTGAGTCTGCAACAGAGCCCCCGGGGGTCTTCAGGTGAGGGCCCTGCAGCCTCCCACGTCCTGCCCAGGCTCAGCCCCTGGGGTCTCAGGAGAGAAGAGAGCAGTCTGGGCCGAGGGTGGTGACAAGGTAGGGCAGTGGGACCTGGGGTAGGGACAGGCCAGGACCCAGCCTCTGGTTTTCTTGCAGGGACCCTCCCCAAGCCCAAGCTGTGGGCAGAACCAGGCCCTGTCATTCCCCGTGGAAAGTCAGTGACCCTCTGGTGTCAGGGATCACAGGACGCCACGTGGAACTGTCTCAGTAAGGAAAAACCCTGGAGCCCCACATGCAGAAGACCCTTACAGGGTCCAGGGAACAGGGCCATGTTCCCCATCCCCACCATGACTGCGCAGGACGTAGGGGGATATCAATGCTACCATCAGAGCCCTGCTGGCTTCTCACAGCACAGTGACCCCCTGGAGCTGGTGGTGACAGGTGAGAGGACACTCAGGGGTCCCAGCCCCGGCTCTGTCTCAGGAAAGGGGTCTGCCCCCAGGGGTCCCTCTCACAGCGCATTAATGGGGGAGGAGGGAGCCATGAACGCCTGCCTCCTTCTCTCCTAGGATTCTACAGCAAACCCAGGCTCTCAGCCCTGCCCAGCCCTGTGCTGACCTCAGGAGGGAACGTGACCCTCCAGTGTGGCTCATGGAAGGAATTTGACGGCTTTATTTTGGTGAAGAAAGGAGAACAAAACCTCACCTGGACCCTGGACTCACAGCAAAAACCCAGTGGGCAGTTCCAGGCCCAGTTCCCCGCGGGGCCTGTTAACCCCACCCACAGGTGGACATTCACATGTTACGGCTATTATAGGAGCAAACCCCAGGTGTGGTCAGAACCCAGTGACCCCTTGGACCTCCTGGTCTCAGGTA